AAGAGTACGGTGTCTCCAGTAAGACACATGACCTTGAATTTCAGTATGGCCACTCCCTTGCTGTTCCCTGAACTTTCTTAACCTTACCTTCTTGCTTGAAAACAGAAAAGCAAGATTTGGGCCTGGTGGGCAAGTTACTCAAGAAGATGAGACAGGAGGATTACAAGTCCAAAGTCAGCCCACATAACCCACCTCAAAAGCTAAAATGTAAAAAAGGATATAACTTGGCAGAGAGCTTACCTAGCTTGCAGAAGGCCCTGGGTTACAGCCTCTGTTACATCCTGCTCTCACTAGAGAGGGATAAAATGACAGAGTGGGAAAGATCTTTCCTTTAAACTGTGGAGATGAGTATGTGGAAAAGAACCCCAGAAAAAGAAGCGTATGTAGAGACATAAAATGTAATTTCACAGCATATTGGAGGACCAGGAAGCAGGCTACGTTGCAAGGGTTCCCAGAAAAAGGGGACATGGTCAGTGGTGTCCAGGATCTGCAGCAGTTCTAATTGCTGTCACTCACCCCATTTTCAGTTCTCATTATGTGAAAGAATGTACAGGTTACTCTTGTCTGTTCGGTTCGAATGAAGACTGACCCATCAGAAATTAAATAGTCCAGGGGAGACTATTTCTATTCTCACTGAGCATCTTAGAGTCTAGCTTGAGGTAGGTATCCTTTGGGCTAAGTAGCCTTTGGGTGTGGAAATAGACCTGGTGGAAGTAGTGGCATAATGAACTTTAAATTCTCGTATGTCCATTTAGACAGTGATTTCATGCTATTTAGACAATTTAGACAACGATTCCACTTAACCACTTAACCTCTGTAGTCACCAATTTGTAATAACTAGGCTCTTGGTGGGGGGCACAGCTGAAATGACCTGATAAAGTCCCACAGAGAGCAGGAGGCTGAGCTGTCTCTGGAGACTTCTGAGAGCCTGACTGGTCTTATGAGATTTTTTAGCAAAGTTTCCGGGGGGGCGGATTAAATTTTCTCTTGGTTTGGAGGCTATGAAAAGCCTAGGCCCAGCTCAGTCAACTCCTGAGAAGATAGCTCCCCGTCCAGGCATCTCTCTCTTTGACCTCTGCCTGGCTTCTCTCTCCTGACTCCTAAGCAGCATACCACATCCTACAGGGGCTGTCATGGATCCAGACACGGAGGAGAAGCAGCCAAGACGGCATGATACCCTGCCTTCTGCCCACGCCACAGTTGTGGCCTGGGTTCTGGGAACCACTGGGTCCTTACTCCACCCAAGGTCTCACTTGGCTCACCTTCTATCAGCAGCACTGTTCCCACAGCCAGCACCTCGAGTTCCCCAAAGCCAGCAGGCAGGGCCCTGTTTGCTGCCATCCCTGGGCTCCTCCTTGTCATCCACCCAGCTCTTTTCTGGCTCTCTGAAGCTAGACTCTTCCATTTTAAATGGTCACTCTACTTGCTTGCACATGCAGATTATTACGGTAGACTTAGAACACCTTCTTTATTTCTTACCCTTCTAAATCTTCCTCCTGGCTCACGTAGAAGGAATGCATTCAGTAAATGGACAGTGCAGCCTTTGTGAGGCTGGAATGAGCCCTGCCTCATTCATTTCAGTCCACTGGGCAGGATTAAGGTCTAGGATCCAAATGGTGTGTGACTGAAAGCTGAACTGGGAAAGGGTTACATAACCGAGGGAGGGAAGTGGAAGGAAGGATTTTAGCTGCAGCTTTCCCCAAGAATTGGATAGGAGCCAGGTCCTCCTATGTACACAGTTGCTGACCAGCTGGGTGTCCGTGCATATGCGTGTGTGTGACTGTGTGTGTGTGTGTCTTTCTGTCTGTGTTGTGTGTTCATTCATAGGCTCAGGGGCACGAGAAGGCAAGCATTGGGGGAAGGATGCGGTTTCTGAAGTCAGCTGCTGTCATAAAACAAACATTTACTGGGACCAAACCCTCAGCTTTTGGCTCAGAATCTGCCATTAATGGCTCTATGCTTGGCACTGCAGCCATTGGATCATTTCCTATTCACCTTAGGCATTTCTGCTCCATGAGATGTCAGGACTCTTTCATTTCAAATGAGGAAATTGGAGATAGGTTGGATAGGAATCAGCCCAAATTCCTACAGTGAGTGGTGGGCGCAGTTGCAACAATTCTGCAGGCCCTGAAACTTCCCACTGCCCCCCTCTGATTCCCTCTAGAAGAGCAATTATCTCCATGCATGGTCCTTGGTTGGAGTATCAGTCTCAGAAAAGACACCTGTGCCAAATATTTTGGTTCTGTTGCTCTCCTTGTGGAGCTCCTGTCCCCTCCAGGTCTTCTTTCATAAGATTCCCTGCACCCTTCCCAAAGTTTGGCTATATGAGTCTCAGCATCTGTTTTAATATTCTGCTGGATAAAGTCTTTCAGAGGCCTTCTGTGGTAGGCTCCTGTCCTGTTACTTGTTTTCTCCCTCTTCCAATGTCCATCCTGTTTGCCTCTCTGTATGAGGATTGATCATCTTACCCAGGGTCCTCCTTCTTGCTTAGCTTGTTTAGATGTACAGATTTTAGTATTTTGTCCTATATTATGTTTCTAATATCCACTTATGAGTAAGTATATACCATGTGTGTCTTTCTGCTTCTGGGGTACATCACTCAGGATGATGTTTTTTAGTTCCCACAATTTACCTGCAACTTCATGATTTCCTTGTTTTTAATTGCTGAGTAGTATTCCATTGTGTAAATTACCACAATTTCTGTATCCATTCTTCAGCTGAGGGACAACTGGGTTGTGTCCAGAATCTGGCTATTACAAATAAAGCTGCTACGAACATGGTTGAGCAAATGTCCTTTTTCTGTACTTGAGCATATTTTCTATATATGCCTAGGAGTGGTATAGCTGGATCTTGAGGTAGCACTATTTCTAATTTTCTGAGAAAGCACCAGATTTATTTCCAAAGTGGTTGTACAAGTTTCATTCCCACCAGCAATGGAGGAGGGTTCCCCAGAAAGGGGTTCTTTTTTTGGCTTACAGTTCAACATACTATTCGTCATGGACAGAAGTCAGGACACAAACTCAAACAGAGCCAGAACCTGGAGGCAGAAGCTGATGCAGAGGCCATGGAGGGGTGCTGCTTACTAGCTTGTTCTACATGGCTTGCTCAGACTGCTTTCTTGTAGATCCCAGAACCACTCGTCAAGGGATGGCACCACACACAATGGGCTGGGCCCTCCCCATCAGTCACTAATTTTAAAATGCCCTACAGGCTAATGTACAGCCCGGTTTCTTTTTCTAAAAAAAAAAAAAAAAAAGACCAACCTTTTATTTTTAAAATTTTTTATTCACTTTACAGCCTGATCAAATCCCCACTTCCTCCTTTCCTCCTAGTCCCAATGTCCCACCCCTTCCCCATTTCCCCATCTCCTTATCCTCAGAGAGGGGAAGGCCCCCATGGGTACCAACCTACCCTCGTATCTCAAGTCACTACAGGACTAGGCACATCCTCTCTCACTAAGGCCAGACAAGGCAGTCCAGCTGTGGGACAGGGATCCAAAGGTAGGCAACAGAGTCAGATATAGTCTCCAGTGTAATTGTTAGGGGACCCACATGAAGGACAAGCTGCACATCTGTTACATCTGTGTAGGGGCCTAGGTCCAGCCCATACATGCTCTTTGGTTGGTGGTTCTGTTTCTGTAAGCACCCATGGGTCCATGTTAGTTAACTCTGTAGGTCTCCTTGATCCTTCCACACAACCTGATTTTATAGAGCATTTTGCGAATTGAGAGTCCCTCTTCACAGATGACTTAAATTTTTGTCAACTTGACATAAAGTTGCCCAGCAGAGTCTCTGGGCATCTTTCTTGGACCAGCCTCACCAGCCTAGGCTTGACTAGGCTCCTGAGCATGCCACGACAGGCTATGGAACCTACTGGGAAAACCACATGACCAAGTCCTCAGAGATAGAAAGCAAAGTGAATGAGTGACTTAAGAGAGCCTACTATTCAGTCCTTTCTGACATCTTGAGAAGGTTTGACAGGATGGGGTTGGAGAACATTAAATAAAATCTCCAACACCTTTGTGAGATCCAGCTCCTTTTGTTGTATGGCATTTGAGGAGGGGAGATCCTTTCTTCCTGCAGAGACTCCCCCTTTTTTCAACATGGGTGGTAATGCCTCAAATGGTAGCCCATCGACACCTTAGGGTTCTGAGACTGGTGCCCCTGGGGCATTGAAGGAAGGCAGATGTTTGCCTATGTGCATGAGCATATGTAGACATCTGTAACACCTCCTTGTGATGTCAAAATCTTCCCAGCCCTTCTGTGAGCAAAGGCCTGTAAGTACTAGAAATTTCTAGTTTGTGGGAAAGTCCTGTCCCCCAGGCAATCAAGGATGGGCAAACCTGATTTCCACCAGTACTCCAGGTAGGAGAGCTTTACTTCTGTTTGTAACTGATGACCTGGGATATGAATGCAGGTGTTAGGCCCTGAAAACATGGTCCCTTTCTGCACCGCCTTCAGAAAGCCTTGCTTCAAGTCACTCCTTTGTTTGTTTTTCTCTAGAAGCTATTACACAAGACAAGTTTTAGTTAAATTTTTTTATATTAATTGCAGTTTATTCACTTTGCATCCCAGCTGATAGGAGGCAATTTTTAAAGGCCTTTATTAGAGACCAGAGTTCTGCTCTGATTTATTATCCATGGCCTGATTGAAAGGAGGCTTTTTGCAAATAGACAGCACATTCAGCCAGGCACTAGTCATCGGCCTCTGGGTAGCTGCCCATCTGCCTTATCTTGCTGTGTCCTAGCTTCTTATGGCCGCAGTTGTTGCTATAGAGGGATTCTCTCCCTCCCCTCAAGACTAGGTGATTCAGGAAGCAATAAGCTGCTGAGTGCTGGGGCTGGGGCTCTCTCCCTAATCCCCAGCCTGTGTTTATCCCATGGCCTTGTGTGGGGGTTGGAGAGAGATGAGCAACTGGGTAGCCGCTGGACTTACTGAACAAGCAGGACGGAGAACATCTAGGGATAGGCCCCTGCCTGGGCCCAAGAGGAGCCAGAAGTCATGTGGGTGGCCCTAAGCATGCTCTGGCTCCTCACTCTTGGGGGACCTCACCAGGCCTGGAGCTTCTGCCCCTCTCAATGCAGCTGCAGCCTGCACATCCTGAGTGACGGCAGCAAGACCAGGTATGACACCCACCAGGTGCGGGCTGGGTTGCCAAGTCTTCCTAGGTCCCAGCAAGGTTGGGAGGGGTTGGATGTCCAGCAGCTGCCTACCTACTCACAAGTCCCCTGCTCCCATCCAAGGCCATCTGATAAACCCAGACATGGTGGGTTTGGGATCCTTGAAACCCACGGTCATGGAAAAGCAGTTTGTGCTATGTTATCTTCAGTACATAGGGAGTTTACTCTGCTCAGGAGGGTGTGGGCCAGGTTCTGGACATTCTTCTAGAGCCTTCCTTTGTGTATCTGGTAGGGAGAAGCCTTCTTTAAAAGTCTAGAAGTTTTGTCCTTATCTCATCTTTTCCTCCATTTGCTTTCTTCCATTTTTCTTTTCTTCTTTGTATCTCCCAGCTCCTACTGTCTCAGGCATCTCCCATTCTCAAGCTTAACCCCTACAAGAGTCCTTTTACCTCCTGACACATGGTCGAATACCTATCCCCTAAATCCACCCCCCCATTTTAAGCTTCCTCTATTCTCAGTACAGTCCTTCATTTTCCCTCATGTTTTCTCCTCCTCCTCTTCATGAACTTTTGAAGTCAAAGCCACTTTGGTTGTTGGGTCCTTGATTTTCTCATGTTGCTCATTTTCCTCTTTTTTTTTTTTTTTTTTTTGTTTTTTTGTTTGGCTTATTCAATGGGAAACTTATTTTCTAAGTTGCTCAAGGATTTCAATCCCTCACTCAGGGCTTTTCCTATCAACTTTCCAACCTTCTGGAATCCATCATCCTCCATTGATGATTTCTGATTATAGAAATGATATTATTGGAATTATCCTTTTCACATGATCCTGGGAATATTGGGTTGATTGAGGATGATGGTGGCAGAGAATGGCAAGGAACCTCCAGAAAAGATATCTTGTATATTCTGGAGAAAAGGTAGAACCGATTTTTGGTGTATTTGATGATTTGAGTTGTATGGAAAGTAAATTTCTCTCCATTAAGTAGGACAGGCTGATGCTTAATCAGCCTGGAAAATGGCTGATGACTAAGGAAAATATGGTGAGGATGTTTTTGGTCACAGACACCATCTCCAGAGAGCAAATGCTTCAAGGTCACGTGCCATTGGTGATGAAACCCGTACCAGAATCCATGGGTCTAATTGTCAGGCTCTGGGATTCTGCCATGCATGGGAGAGGCTGCCATCTGCATAGAGTGCCCTGCAAGGGCAGTGAGGCCCTGAAAAGCCTGCGCGGAAACCGAGGGTCTCTGGTCGCCACAGGCATAGACTGTACCCCAAGATCTAGGCATCCTCTGAATATTAGCTATCTTCCTCAGACCCAGCTCTAACCTTGCAGAGGACCACCCTAGCACCCTTCCTGCTTCACATTCAAATCCTGAATATAATATATGGTCCTCTGGAAATCACAGTTGCAGATGTTCGTGTTGGGAGGTGGCTGGCAAGGGCAGCATGGGCACCTAAACAAATGTTTCTTTCTCTTAGCGCCCAGTTTTGTTTGATTTTGGTTGGCTTATGTTAGGTTAGACTCTTAGTAGCTTCAAACTTCCCTTGACCAACACCCCCGTACCCCTTTACCTCCCAACCCCCACCCTGCCTTGATTAGGAACAGTTTCCCTATCAGTTTCTTTCCTTTACCTGTACTCAAACCTTCCCTGCTAGCATCCTGCCCTGTATTAGGATCTCTTTTCCTTGGTTAAATTATTAACATCAGTGGACAGGCCCATCACCCATGAGACACTACAGTTGTTGTCTGTGTTAACAGGCAGCTCATAAGGAACTGACCTTTGCTCAAATATCTCCCATTTCTGTGACCAGGACAGTGGTGTGCAGCGACCCTGACTTGACCCTGCCCCCAGCTTCGATTCCTCTGGACACCTACAGGCTGCGCCTGGAGCGAACCGCCATCCGTAGGGTGCCTGGAGAAGCCTTCAGGCCTCTCAGCCGCCTGGAGCAGCTGTGGCTGCCCTACAATGCTCTCAGTGAGCTCAGTGCCCTTATGCTCAGGGGACTGCGCCGCCTACGAGAGCTGCGTCTGCCTGGGAACCGACTGGTCACTTTCCCCTGGGCTGCACTCAGGGACACTCCACAGCTGCAGCTGCTGGACTTGCAGGCCAATCGCCTCTCAGCCTTGCCACCCGAGGCTGCACACTTCCTGGAGAACCTTACTTTCCTGGACCTCTCCAGCAACCAGCTGATGAGGCTTCCCGAGGAGCTGCTGGACATGTGGGCTCACCTGAAGACCGGGCCCTTTCTTTCTGGCCATCATGCCAGGCTAGTCTTAGGTAATCAAGACGGCATCCTTCATCCAGAACCAACCCCGTACATATTGGGTCTTGGACAACTATCCAAGCCTCTCTGAGTCTGATTGATAACACATTCTTCTTCTACTCTGAGGGAAGATGAAACAATGTCAGCCTTAATTGCGGGTTTAGTAGCTCAAGACAAGCCAAACCACCTCATATTTCAGCATTAGAAGGAGAAAGCAGACTGGGGTGGGAAGGGGTTCCCTAATCTCACAACCAGTGTGTGGCCCTCTTAAAGTCAGTTTCTCAGCTCAGGGTGGAATGAGCTAGCAAAATATTTCAGCCAGACCCCGTTCCTCTCTATCCCTCCTTGCTCCAATAGCGCAAGTAAACAGGCAAGCCTTTGCTGCCCGGGACACCTGCCTGCTCATGGGGCTGACTATCCCAGCATAACTGGAAAAGCCATTAAAAACAAAGCAAAGAGTCCAATGGTTCCCTTGTCCCTTTTCCTACCCTAATCTCTTCTCCTTCTCCCAAGGGCAGCTACTAAGTATCATGTTTACATACAAGTTCCTTACCTTTTACAACATGTTTACATATACACACAAATATATACATACACACACAAAGAAAAGCTGGGTGTGACGTTACAATTTTTCCATGTGTTTTTGAACCACATGTATCTGATGCCCTTAGAGGCCAGAAGAGGGTATTGTGTCTCCTGTAACTAGAGTTACAGAGGCTGTGAGCCTCCATGTAGGTGCCAGCTCCCCTGGAAAAGCCGCCCAGCCAGTGCTCTTCACCACCAAGCCATCACCCACTCCTCGTGTTGAATTTTTAAAAATCATATTCCATGTATTAATCAGAACCAATTTTTCATCCAATTATGTATCCCAGAGATTTTTCTAGATAAACGCAAATGAGACAAGTTCATTTATTAATAGTCCACATAAAAGCAACCCCAAGGCCTTTAGATTGTTTCCACTGTCTCATTACCACCTTTGGTGCCACAGAAGACTATTCTCAGCCATGTATTCTTTTTTAATTAGTTTATTAATTAATCTTTCACACAGTGCTGACAATTCCCCCCCCCTCTTCTCCCAGTCCTTCCTCCTCACCTCCCCTTCCCACTCCCCATCCACAGTGCCTTCAAAAGTTCAGGTCTCCCATGGGCCAACTAGCTCTGGCATACCAAGTTACAGTAAGACTAGGCACCTTCTTTTCTATTAAGGCTAGAAAAGGAAACCTAGGAGGGGGAAAGGGTCCAAAAAACAAGCAACAGAGTTAGACACAGCTCCTGTAGGTGTCCCATAAAAAAGGCCAAGCTACACAACTGTATCATACGTGCAGAGAGGACCTAGGTCCCATACAGGTCCCACTGTCAGCCATGCATGGGTGTGAAAATGTCTCTGAAGGATAGAAGTTGAGAAGTGAGCTTGCCAGATTAAAACAGTACTTGCATTAATATTTCACGATCAGCTTCATATCTTCTAAAAAGGCTGGTACATAGCCAGGCACTGTGGCGCACACCTGTAATCCCAAGACTTGGGGAGGCAGAGGCAAGCAGATCTCTGTGAGTTCGAGGCCAACCTGGTCTATAAAGCTAGTCCAGGACAGCCGAGGCTACACAGAGTAACCTTTTCTTGAAACAAACAAACAAGAAAGCCAAAATGGATAAATAAGCAGAAAGGCTGGTACAGTTTTCACTCTTCACCAATAGTATGTGGAATCACTCATTCATATGGTCTCTAAGAAAGGCTTTCTTGGCATATTTTATGTGTATGTAGCATGTGGACACCCATGCTTGCATATGTATAAGCATAAGTGTATGTTTCAGGCATACAGGCATACGTAAGTAGAAATCCGGAGGTGGTCAGTTGTCTTCCCTGATCTTCATTTTTATTACTGAGGAAGGGCCTCCCGCTGATCCCAGATTTAGCTAGTCTAACTACAGCTTGCTCTAGGAATTTCCTGCTTCTGCCTTTCTAGTGCTAGGAATACAGCCTTCCGCATGCCCGCCTGACTTTATGTGTGTCAGGAAACCCAGACTCTGCTCCCCATGCTTGTCCAGAAGGCTTTATTCACCTAACCATCTCCTCAGACCCAGTGAGTATTTTTTAGTGATTTCTACTTCTTGATACTGTGAGCACTTTATTTATGAAGAAAGAAACTGTGAGGGAAAACAACACTGCCACTGAAGATGAAAACCAAGTCTCAGGTCATATATCTGGCAAGGCTAGTAGCTGGGATTGGAGGTCAATTCTGATGACTCATTCTGAGTGGATAAACTGCCTCATTTTCCCAGAGGAAAAATGCAGCTGAAGATCTAAAGTTAACCTCTTACTCACTCTCACTTCTGCAGGGCTTCAGGACAACCCCTGGGTGTGTGACTGTCGGCTCTATGACCTGGTTTATCTCCTAGATGGCTGGGCTTCAAACTTGGTCTTCATTGAGGCTAGACTGAAGTGTGCCAGCCCACGCAGCCTAGCTGGAGTGGCCTTCAGCCAGCTGGAGCTGAGAAAGTGTCAGAGCCCAGAGGTCCGTCCAGGGGTGACCAGCATCATATCCCCCTTGGGTAGTACAGTATTGCTGCGTTGTGGAGCAACTGGGATCCCAGGACCTGAGATGAGCTGGAGGAGAGCCAACGGACGCCCACTCAATGGTACAGGTGTGTGAGCAGCAAGACCTTCTGTGTTGAGTGCTGGACTGATACAGCTGGTCAGCTTCCCAAATGGAGAGTGGGCAGTGTTCGCAGGGACTGCTATAAGCCAGGATGGGCTCTCGTCTGTCTGAATGTAACTGGATAGAATCTGCTCATATGCTGAACATTGACCATGGCAATGGTCCTCAACCCTTCCTGTTATATCTCATTGGCCACTTTATTATCAGAAAGTTGGGGCCCATGTTAGGAGCAATACAAAGTTGGCTTTTAGGGAGAAAAATGCTCTAAGTGCATTTAATATTTTAGCAAGTTTTCTTTTAAAAACATTAACCCAGAATCATCAGGAATAATTAATGATGGAGTTGCCATCTGTTGAGATCTTCATGTGAGTCCAACATTACATAAAATAAATCATGTCCATAATATCATTGAACTTTAAAAAGCAGGTGAGATTGGGTGTGGGGATCTGAGTCTACAACCTTAGCATTTGGGAGACAGGAAAATCAAAACTACAAGGGAAGTCTTAGCTACATAGAGAGTTAGGGGTAGGTTAGTAGACTAAGCGACATGGGACTTCCTCTCAGAATGAACCCACCTTGAGCCAAACCAAGACAAAACTGTAAAAGGCAACCTGATCATCCTTTTTCTTCATACACATAAATGGAAGTGCTGAGAGGTAAATGCTTTGCATATCACACAGCTCAAATATGAAGAAGCTGGGATTCCAGTCAGTCTAGCTCTAGCTTCATAGGGTGTGTGATTTGTCTATTCTGGGTGAGTTGTGTGGGCAGAGACAGATCATCTCTGTTATGGTGGTAGCATGGACAAGAATCACAGCCATACATAGGCAGAAAGTAAGTTGAGGAGCAATAATTTCTTAGCATCTAACCAGGAAATCTCACATCATGCCAAGCTTTTTACTGTCTTCCTCAGCAAGGCTGGCAACTGTTGCTCTAAGTGGGTTACATAGTAATGGGAAGAGGGAGTGCCTCCGACACAATCTGATTGGCCTGATCTTTGATCGCCTCCCCCTGAGGGGAGAGCAGTCTTACCAGGCCACAGAAGATGACAATGCAGCCACTCCGGATGAGATCTGATAGACTAAGATCAGAAGGAAGGAGAGGAGGACCTCCCCTATCAGTGGACTTGGGGAGGGGCATGCATGAAGAAGGGGGAGGGAGGATGGGATCAGGAGGAGAGAAGGGAGGGGCTTATGGGGGATACAAAGTAAATAAAGTGTAAAAAAATAAATAAATTATCAAAAAAGATATTCTACAAAAAGAGGGGGGGGGGGTTGGGCCAGTTTGCATAGCAGTGCAAAAGGCTCCACTGTGCAAAACCACAGAGGTGAAGGTGCTGGTTACACCTGTCCTTTGAGGTGTGCAACGGTGGGTATGGCCGTTCCAGATTATCCTCTGCCTCATGCTCACCCCTGAACTTACCTACCCTCCCCCCCCCGCCTCGTGCACTTGCCTGCTTCCCTGAGAGGTCACTTTTGCAACTCTCTAGGATCTGAAGGGTAAACTGGTCTCCTCAGTCTTAGAAGGCAGTTTTTTAAGTAATGCAGTGAGGTGGGCCTTGAAGGGTTGAGATTTGAGTGCATGCCAGTATTTTGGGGGATAACTACTACTCACTACACTATGGGTAGGCCGGGAGCTGTGACCTTGGCCTTGGAACAGAGCCTGTGGAGACAACTCACCCATTCCTCCATATCTGCCTTTTCTCTCCCTAGTGCACCAGGAAGTCTCCAGTGATGGCTCAAGTTGGACTTCGCTGGATCTGCCTGTTGTGTCTCTCTTTGACTCTGGAGACTACATCTGCCAGGCCAAGAACTTCCTAGGGGCTTCTGAAACACTTATCTCCTTGATTGTCACAGAGCCCCACACCTCAACAGAATATAATGGGGTGCCAGGTGTCCTGTGGGCAAGGACAGGGGAGGGAGCAGAAGCTGCTGCTTACAACAATAAGCTGGTGGCCAGGCACGTTCCCCATATTCCCGAGCATGGAGTCCTGGCCACCAAGCCCCCAGTGCCCAGCATCAAAGAGGAGCTGGCCCTCCAGCACTTTCAGATGGATGTCCCAGGAGAGTTCTCCAGAGAGCCATCAGAACACCAGGAGGCACAGGTGGTTAGGTCCCTAAAGGTGGTGGGAGATACTTACCACAGTGTGTCCTTGGTGTGGAAGGCCCCTCAAGCTGGGAACACAACTGCCTTTAGTGTCCTTTATGCAGTCTTTGGGCAGCATGACATGCGAAGGATGATTGTGGAGCCTGGGAAGACTAGCGTCACCATCGAGGGACTTGCTCCAAAGACCAAGTATGTGGCGTGTGTCTGTGTGCGAGGCCTGGTGCCTAAGAAGGAACAGTGTGTCATCTTCTCCACTGATGAGGTAGTGGATGCAGAAGGCACACAGCGGCTCATCAATATGGTGGTGATCAGCGTGGCTGCCATCATCGCGCTGCCCCCCACCCTGCTGGTTTGCTGTGGGGCTCTCCAGAGACGCTGCCACAAGTGCCGCACTCGGGGCTCTGCAGAGGCATCTGGTGCCTACTTTAATTTGGAAAGACTGGGCCACAGTGAGGATGGTTCAGAGGAGCTGTCCAGAAGCAGCCTCAGTGAGGCAGACAGGCTTCTCTCAGCACGATCCAGCGTGGACTCCCAGATTTGGGGAGTCAGGGGTGGCAAACGTATCAATGAGTACTTTTGCTGAGTCTCATGAATCTCCACTCACACCTGCCTAGCCATTCTTCCTCGTCAGTCTCACACACTTACTTTTATATCTGGCTGTGTGCTCAACCACCCTTACTGTTTGGGTACTTGGTAACTTGCACATTTACACCAACAATAGCTAACACAGCCTTTTAAGCAGTTACTGTGTGCTGGCAAGCATCCAAGGTAATTCATAGGCATTTACTCACTTAACTCTCATAACAACCATTAATAGCAGGAACCATTTTTTTTTCTCTCTATTTTTCTGGATAAGAAACAGGTGTTAAGTATTTTACCTGTACCAGTCGTCAGTTTCTGCTGCATCACAAATAAAAGCAAAAACTCTCTGGTATGTAGCATTTAGATATTTATTGTCACACTATGTGTCTGTAGGTTGACTGGCATGGCTCTGCTATGTATGTCCCATTGGGGCTCAGAGGTGGAGAGCAGCAGTGGCTACCTGGGGCAGGGTTTTCTCAGATGACATGAGAGGAATGAGCAAAAATCTTACAATGCCTCTGAATGTCTTAGTGTGAGACTGGCACATTGCTGCTTGTGCTCATTTCCTATCTGCCAAAGACAGTCTCATGGCCAAATCCAACTTTAAGGAGGCAAGCAAAGATACTAATCCTCTGAAGGTGGTGATGGAAGAGAAAACATTTTATAAACATGGTTACAACGTAGTCCGCTACAGTACTGACCCTGGGCAGTGGCAGCTCAAACTTTGAGCCAGGCAGTTGGACAATTGGTTCTACTGGTGAGTCCTTACCACCCTGTACATTGCATCATGCTTCCATTTACGCTAACTCATATACACAGTTTCTCTATACATTAGCCATGTTTTTGAACACACACACACACACACACACACACACACACACACACCCCTCATCCTCATGTGTCCACCTCATTGAATTCTAACATTTATCCTTTGGGGTGCTTGGAGATAATTTTATTTGCAATAAATTCTAGAGACTACTGCTCTTTTCCTCCCAACATGCCAGACTTGAGAGAGAGCCAAGAGGCATCTACAACAGAGGGCACTGTCATGCTCAATCTGTTCTCACACCTGGCCCATCCCCACGGAGGAGCTTAGGCAATGTTTTCTGAAATTTTCTCAGTTTTGGAGAGTATCTAGGAGCTTTTCAGGTCACCCAGAAGGACACACAGGAGAAGAATTTTTGCTAAGTTTTGCCTCATGCAGAGACTGCTAAGATGTTTGCGCACAGGAATGAGTGAAAGGTCCTAGCAGAAGATTCCATTTATTACTTGTCTACAAAGAAGATGGATAACAACTCCTTTGGTAACAACTGTGGACTTTCAGAGTCAGAAGTGATCCAAAGAAATTATTTAACTAGTACCATACAAGATAATTCACATCATGTGAATATTGACTAGATATAAGCCTCCTTCCTATTTGTAAAAGACTTCACAAAATGCTTCTAACCTCCATTCTGGAGGTTGAGCTATTTAATTTTACTGATGAGGAAACTAAGAACCTCATTAGTAAATATGGATGGAAACCAAGTATATGTGTATAAAGGAGGGAAGGATTGTCTTTTGGAATTTTTGTCTTTGACAGCTTTTTGGATGCTATGTCTTCACTCAGTATTGATCTCTGAAGTGTAGCCCACAGCAAGTTCACTATGAAAAATGAATTTTTGGCAGCCACAGAAACCTAGGATCTGAGCCACATGAACACATGTGCATATGGACATGGAGTCACCGAATTTGATGTTTTCTCTCACTCCCTTAAAGGTTGCATTTGATTATAACATATAGGTTATTACCACTAGCAAGAAAATCTTTTTGGTTGGACAGTAATGCCCTTGCCTCCATTGGGGATCAACATGACTTTTCTTTTCTTAATAAACAAAACTAGATAATGAATATCACAAGCTCTGTCTTTGCCAATGGAATGAAAAACAAATATAGACTATATGTGAGTTAATTGGCATGCTTATGATTCAATAAAATCTTATTTATCAAAACAGACAACAAACTAGAGGCAGAATCCAATTAGCTTTTTTGAACTTTGTGGAAGAAAAAATCAGGAGCTTGAGAACAGAAAACAAAAATTAAAAAAAATGAAATGTTGACTGAGAGACAGAAGAGAAGGCAGGAGAGGAGAAAGAGGAAAAAAAATGGGGATGGGAATAAAAATTTCCAGCAGTCTAGGAGGGCTGCCTTCAAGGTGTGGGCGATTATTGCCTCCAAGATGCCTGGCCTCCTAATGTTCATGTATCAGTTGTCTTTTATGTTTTCTGTCCTCATTGACTTTTCTCTTGGAAAGAAGAGTCATTCTGGATTGTTTTCATGGGTACCTATGTTACTAAAACAAACTCTCTGGCAAACGATAAATAAATGGTATCTGGTTTACATACTAATCTTTTAGTGTAACTCATCCCTTGAAAACAATGTTCTCTAAGTAGCCTGGAGAAAGAATTCCTGGTGTTTCTGTACTAAAGGCCAGCTGCCAACTGGGCTGTGGTGATCCTGTGGTGCTCTGGCTCTGGGTGGCTAGTTTAGTAGTTGCAAATCAATGCCTATCCGTTTCCATGGTTTCATGACATCTCCATCATATATTTTCCAAACTACAGCACAGTATTTCTCCTCCCTACACAGATGGTATGTCCAAAGTCACTTATTTTCAGTTGCCTTTCCACTTACAGGATACAAAAAGGCAAAACCAAGTTATGAGAAGAGGATGTAAGCTGTCTAACTAGGCTCTTAATCAAGGGTCCAGATGAGATTTTTCAGGGGGCAAGAGCTGAACTGAGGGTAGATATTCATTAATTCCCAGGAACTATACTTGTGTACTTGCAAGATCATTGAAGGTTAGACATATCCAGCTCATGTCATGGCAGCAGCTTCCATATTTCAGCAACTTAGCATATAATGACTCATTCTTCCTCTAGCAGGCTGCTCATTGAGTGATTGGGGAACGATGGAGGAAGAGTTTGCTTCATTTACTCAAAGACCTAGGCTATGAGAAACTCTACCATCTGGAATATCAAGTTACCTCAACAATGAAAAACAGAACAAAACTAAAATCATGGAGGGGCTCTTCAAATATCATTACTTCTAACATCTCCATAGCTAAAATTGGGTCATATAGTTTGAATACTTTTTAAAGATAATTATTATTTGTTTTGTGAGTACTCTGCTGCATGTACACCTGTTTGCCAGAAGAGGGCATCACATCCCTTTATAGATAGTCGCTAGCCATGATGTGGTTGCTGCGAATTGAACTCAAGACCTCTGGAAGTACAGCCACTGCTCTTAACCACTGAGCCATCTCTCTAGCCTTTTGCTTGGATATTTCAAAAGAGCACTGAAGTGTGATCTTTTCTGCCTTTCTCTTACTGGCATACTACAAAGCATGTGTGGCCCAGGGATCATCTCAGACATTGTTGTCAAAAGATAGAAAATGAAAAGGCTCTATGTAGAGAAAAGGGAGGATGTCTGTTTGCTACTTAGTAACAAGCCCAGCTCTCTGCTCTAAATTGTATCAGACCGGCTAATTTGGAAGAGTAAATGGCACTTTTCAATTGAATAGGATATTCTTTTATTGAGAGTGTATTCCCAGCAGTAAGTTATATCTATGCCATAATCACACAGTAATTCTTCTCCAATAACCCTCTCTTGAGAGAATTCTACAGGCTAAATTCCTAAAAGCCTTCTTCAAGATGAAAGATAAAGATGAAATATTCTCAAATCCTCTCTTCTTTGATGTCAGAGTCTAATGATTTTTAGCACTACACCTGGCAGCAGGTTATTTAAGCCAAAGAACAACACTAACCAAGTAAAAGTATTAGAGGGACAGAACTTATAGAATGAGTCTGTGTCTTTATCCATATCAAGATATGTATATATGTATAGATAGATATAGATATGAATATACACATATACTTATCTACATCTATCTAGATGTGGCTATATATTCCTATATATATATAAGTATAGATATCTAAATATCTATATCTATGTAGATATCTCTAATAATCTAGATGTATATATATATATACCTATCTGTATCTATCTAGATATGAATATATAACTATATCTATCTAGATATGGATATATATATATATATATATATATATATATATATATATATATTTGGATATGGACATAGATACAGAAAGGAGATTTATTAGAATGGCTTACAGGTTATCATTCAGTTTGTTCAACAATGATTGTCTACTAACAGAAGGTTCAAAAATCCAGTAGTTGCTCAGTCCATGGATAGTTCAGCTGGTCATTAGTATATGCCAGAATCCTGAAGAAGTAGGCTCTAATGGCAGTGAAAGAATGGATTTTTCAAGAATGATAGCAGAAAGGCAAAAAAAGAAAGAAAGAAAAAGAAAAAAACAAGATGCTTTCTTTCATGTTCTTTATATGGGCTTCTAACAGAACTTGGGTTCCAGATTAAAGTTGAATCTTCCCATCCTAGAAGAAAGATCTGGATTAAAAATGGGTCCTACCACTTCAAATGTCTTAATGAAGAAAAATCCCTCACAGGTGTACCCAGCTGCTTGTGTTTTAGTTAATTCCAGTAATCAATTTGACAACTGAGAATAGTTATCCCAAGTTCACCTCTTGTCAACCTGACACATAATCATACTCCCGTATGTCATGCTTAATTTCCAAGTATAAACACCCACAAGGTCATAATTATGCCTAACATGATAGAACTATTCTTTACATAACTACAAACATATTATACATTTTAAACATGTGTCAATGCTCCCTTGAGGGACACTGTTTTGGTACTTCAAAACTTAAATATAAAAACCACTGATATTCTCTTAATTGATGTTACATTTTATGAGAAGAAAATTGAAGAAAGAAAACACAAGTATCTGTATGAATCCAACACACTATTAACCAAATATGACAGAAACAATCACATCAACAATAATTCTAATTTCTGCAACTGGTTAAGTGGCCTTAGTTGGCATTCATTACTACCTTCCTCTACTACCTGTTCTGTATTCCATCCATCCTTAGCTAGAACCTCAGCAGGACTTGGCTCCTTTTCTGGAGGAGTGACTCATACCTTCATTCCTGAAGGATCTGTGCCCTTTGTCATCCTTTCCGGGTTAGGCTGTTGTAATTTCCCATTGACTTTAATCACAGGCTATGACAGCCCCAAGAAATGCCCTAAAGAATCTCCTGAACTCCAGATATAATCTTTCTTACCTCCATTGTAAAAAACGAACAAACAAAATCAAAAAAATGATCCAACTAGGAGGACACATTGCATTCAGTCCTGACATGACTTGATGAGCTCGGAGTGGGGCTACCCTTTTCTGAGGAATGGGAAGGGGGAAGAAAAAGGGAGGGTAGGACCGGGAGGAGAAGGAGGGGGCTATGATCGGATGTAAGTAAATTAATTAATTAACTAATTAATTAAATTAAAAAAATTAAAACTAAACTGGAAAAAAATATTTCCCCTTGGTCATCTGAATCAATCACCCCTCTTAACACTGTTATTACCTTCTTAGGATATTGACTTAAGACATCAGCAGCCTGAAGTGGCCAAGGGGAAGGTCTGAACTTCCAGTTCAGTGGACTGCTTTTCTTATGGCTCTTGGCAGGAATGCTCCTGTCCCTGCAAACAAACTTCTAGGCCAGTAGAACTTAAGGTCATGGAGACAGGAAGCAAAAGTTATCCTAGTGGGTTGCTAAAGGTGATAGTGAGTGGAACTATGCCTGTTTCTATTCCTTGATTCATCCTGTCCATGGAAGAAGCTGCACCATATATTGAACACTGATTCAAAGCGTATATCACCTACTGGTGTATCTTTCCTCTTCCCTCTAGGCTGGTACTGCTATCTGACGGTACTGTAAGTGTGTCCCTAGGTGGACATTCCATCTTTCTATCAGACCAGCTGATTCAGGACAGCAGGGAACACGGAAGACCAGTGGATTCCAGGATTGTGGGCCCAGTATCTCACCTTTCTGGCTGTGAAGTGAGTTCTTTGGTCAGAAGCTATACTGTGTGGAACACCATGATAGTGGATAAGGCATTCAGTAAGTCAATGGGTTGTGATTTTGGCAGAAGCATTACATACAGGAAAGGCAAATCTATAACCATAATAATGATCTACTCCAGAAAAGACAAATCTTTTTTCTTTCCATGGAAGAAGTGGTACAATGTAGTCCATCTGCCAGCAGGTTTCTGACTGGTTGGATTAGCTGAAGCACAGCCTGCACCATCCAGAAGTTAACAGCTCCATTATTGCAATCCTTTTCTGGGACAATGAAAGACACCAATGAAGTATAATATTTACAGTGGGTAGAACTTCTGGCAGTATACACAGCCATACATTTTGTCCAGAGGAGAAATGGCCAGATGTATGAATATCCCCTGATTCATGGTCTATAGCCAATGGATTGGCTGGATGGTCAGGGACTTGGAAAAACTATGATTGGAAAATTAGTGAGAAAGATTTTGAGGAAGAAGTTTGTGGATAGATCTTTCCAAATGGGTGAAGGACATGGAAAGACTTGTGTTCCATGTAAATGCTCATCAAAAGGTGACTTCAGCAGAGAAGAAGTTTAATAACTAAGTAGATAAAGTGACCTGTTCTGTGGGCTCACAAAGTGGGCATGATGCACAGATGGAGATTGTGCATGGGCTTGACAACATGGACTACCTCTCACCAAGGCTGACCTGCCTGTAGCTGCTGCTGAGCATCAGATCTGCCACCCCACTATCTTTAATTGTTCTAGACCATTATCCAGCCCCCCCCAGCTACTTCTCATTCCTTTTCCAAATAAAAGGATCATGATTGGAAAGAGTTGCAGAGGTGAATGATACAGACAGTCCCTAAGATGACATGACAGTAGGTATTCCGAACAAGCTCTAAGGCAACTTCTAGGACATTGAGTAGGTCTGAATTTATGCTAGGTGAGGCATGGAATAGACAGAGAGGATATTGTAGGAAAGGAGGAAGCTTTTTAATTTTTGGCTTCTCTATTTGGGTGTAAGAGGAAAGAAAGGCTTCCAGACACCCACCTCTTGAATTGCAGAGTCCCATGAAGCAAGCTTAAATTGTGTGAAACTTGGCAGAGGGTTCAGGAGCAAATATGTCAGTGTTGATTTTCTGAGGTCAAATGGGCTAGGGACTGACAGACTCCCCAGCCTGTCCCTGGGTGTGTGTTGCTTTAGGAAGGACCTTGCTTTGTGAAGGCACTTCTTGCAAGTGAGTATCACCTCCTCATCATTTGAAAGGTAATGAGAGCAGCACATCTCCCCATCTCACAAAGACTTGGAGCCCACAACACACTCCTTGCTGGGATTGGTATTTACCTTGAAAGTAACCGCAAAGATGTATCCAAATGTCGAGTTAAATTGCTTAGGAACGGCAGAAAATGCATCTGGCATGAGTGGGAAGCCTGGAATGTAAGCAGCTTAACTTGTGACCCATTTCCCCCGCACTGGCTAGCTATTAAGCGGATTTCTTTTTCACTGAAGCCTTTTGTGGGGTATAGTGTATATCATGAGTCTTACAAGAACATGGAATTTTGATATTTTCTTGATATGCCTCCATTTCAAAAGAAAGTTGAAACTTCTGCCCATTTAGACTCTGTCACTATACAGGGTGAATTATTGAGCCTCTACTGTGCACTGGGCATTTTGTTTTAGTTAATTTAAACACTTCCCAAACACACTGTGAGATGTCTGTTAATATTCTCATTTTTGCAGAGGAGAAACAGAGGCCTACAAGTAAAAAGAATCAGAAGCATAAGAACAAAGAAGATTAAATGAGAAAATAGCTATAGCAGTTTTTTTTTCTTACCACCATCGTGCCTGGCAAAGATGACTTACAGTGAATAAACATGAACACGAGGTGAGTGAAGAGTTATAGAATAGTGTCTTACCATAGATAACATTTACAAGCCTGGCACTTGCTCTTTGTGCTCTGGAACTCTGTGTTTTGTAAAAGCTTATACCATTAAGCTTCTTGCCCAAGACCCCAAAGCTTTGGCTTTATATTTGTAAACTGCCGTTTTGGAAGAGTACCCTGATGTGTCTCTGATGCTAGTGCTGTGAGTTTCAGAAGGAGCTGTCTGGTGCAGTAGAAGTATGTCTAAACACATACTTGGCACACAGCAAGTGAGGGAAATAATCGCAGAATTGCTTTGCTCGCCGTCTGCTTTCACTTCAAGAAAATAGTTGGAAATTTTGGTTTTCAGGGTTCATTCTTGAATTCTGAAATATTAGATGCATTTTGCCCAAGTCCTGAGTTGTGCTGCTCTGGATTAAAACACCTGATTATTCCCCTGGATTCTTCGTAAGAGGCCAAGAGAAGGTAGAAGCAAAATAGAACTTGACGTCTGATCTACACTTCTTTTTCCAAACTAAAAAATCAGAACTTGATGGATTGTCTCACCTCAGTTAACAGACACAAGTCCTTCCACACAGGATTTGCCTGAGCTTGGGAACAGAGCTGTAACAGACCTCAAAGCATTCAGGGCTTTAGTCTGGCTGTGCTGACCTACATAGTCATGGATTACCAATAATAGGATTTCCTATTCAGAAGCAAGACCATGCCTATTTAAAACACACAAGGTATTGCCTACAGATAAATATGGCTTTTGTTTTTTGCTGTTTCTTGCAATTTCTGCTCTCTCAGGATACACATGCAGCTCAGCGTTTCTGTTTGCCAGGGTGTACCTGCTCAGAGGAGAGTTTTGGCAGGTGTGCTATGCTGACAGGACTCCAGAGGGTGATGGGGGGAAGGGAGGAGCTTTCTTCAGGAATGATATGGTGTGACACAGGCTTAGAGTCTGTGGGAAATCAGCTAAATCTCCATGTGATTCATTTTAATTGGTTCTGGAATTTATTTGAGCAGAACATTTTACCAACATCAATTTCTTTTATTTCAAGTTTATTATTTTTTTTTATTTAATCCTCATGTCTATTGACAAGATACACCCAGTAACAATTACAGGTTCCTTGATGCTTATTAAAGTTTTTCTGCTTTCTTATACAGGAGTCTTCAGTGCCTGTCTGTGTCTTTGGGAAAGATTCCAGACAACTTTCCCGAAGAACTCAAGCAAGTGAGAATTGAAAACTCACCCTTATTTGAACTTCCCCAGGGGGTTTTCACCAACATGAGAACTTTGCAATACCTTTGGCTCAACTTTAACAATGTCACTGTAATCCACCTAGGCGCCCTGGACGATCTGCCTGAGCTGAGAGAGCTGAGACTGGAGGGGAATAGGCTCCGTTCAGTACCATGGACAGCGTTCCGCTCCACACCGCTCCTGCGGGTCTTGGATCTCAAACACAACCAGATTGACGCACTTCCTGAACTGGCTCTTCAGTTCCTAGCCAATCTGACATACCTTGACATATCCTCCAATAGGCTGACAGTTGTAGCCAAGGGTGTCTTCCTAAACTGGCCAGCCTATCAGAAACAGCAGCAGCATGGTTGTGGAGCTGAGATTCTTTCCAACATGGTGCTGTCATTGCACAATAATCCCTGGGAATGTGACTGCCGTTTAAGGGGGCTTGTTGAGTTTGTCAAGTCCATCGGTTCTCCGTTCATTCTGGTGAATTCTTACCTGATATGCCAGAGTCCTGTCTCTAAAGCAGGACAGCTTTTACATGAGACTGAGCTTGGTGTTTGTATGAAGCCAAATATCTCAACCCCTAGCGCAAATGTCACTATCCAGATAGGAAAGAATGTGACCCTGCAATGCTTGGCACAAGCCAGTCCTTCACCAACCATTGCATGGAAGTATCCCCTGAGCACATGGAGAGTATTTGATGGTAAGTCAAGTGTGTGTGTGTGTGTGTATGTGTGTGTGTGTGTGTGTGTATCATACATACGTATGTAGTGTAGAGGTCTGTAAGGACCATTTCTCATTACAGAAGTGTAAATTGTGTCATTCACAAAGAACGAATGCAAGTAAGATTGACATATATGTGCATTAGCTCTTCAGAACAGAAAAGAGTACAAGAAAGCATTCCACTATCATCACTGTTTAAAGTGGATACGTGCAGGTCTTACATATAAATATATAGAGAGATATAGAATGATAGATTGATGATAGATAGATAGATAGATAGATAGATAGATAGATAGATAGATAGATAAATTGGAGCTGATGATTTCATATAGTATGTATATGTTAATAGACTTACATATGAACAAATACAATGTTTGGAAACCTTCTAGATGAAAAAAATCACAACACTAAAATTTCTAGCTAGAACTTTTCCTAGTAAGTGTTATTTACCTCTTAACATTGTCTGACCAGAATCATGTGGGATGCTTATATGAAATAAGATTTATAAGGCCCTCCTCGTGAGATTTTAACTCAGTCTGGGGCCAAAAATGTGTATAGTCATGTATCTATTTCTGCAGTGTTCCCCTTGAGTGATCGTCATAAGATATCAAGTTCTACATATCAAATAAATATTTACTTTCTATTACTGTGTTAATCAGATAATATTAGCTCAAAATTATAATAGAGCCTAGAGGGATTATATGACTTCCAGGAGCTGAAAACTGGGACCTGTATTTGCACCTCTTTTCTTGGAATAGGTTTTAGCAATTCCCAAAGCCAGGCAAGACCTCCTCAGGAGCATGTTGAAGCTGAAAGGACATTTGTAGCTTCTTAGCGCTTTTGTGTAGAACAGTTGAGATCGAGTAATATTTGAGGGATGCAGCCAAGTAAGTTTTCATGATGATGATGAGCCTCCAGGTAGTCAATTATATATATATATATATATATATATATATATATGCAATTTACTGAGTTTTCAGTTTTCTCTATATTTTGATCTTACCATATCGATAAAATGTTAAATGCTGACAGTACAAGAAAGACAAGATTCATCATTCTAGTTTCTTTTAAAATCAATAAATTATTCAGAAAGTGGTGGTGCCTGCCTTTAATCCCAACACTTGGGAGACAGAGACAGGTGGATCTCTTAGTTTGAGGCCAGCCTCACCTACGGGACAAGTAGAGCTGTTACACAGAGAAGCCCTTTCTCAAAAAAAAAAAAACAGAAAGGAAGAAGAGGAGGAGGAAAGAAGAAAGGAAAGAATGGAGGAAGGGAGAAAGGGAGGGAGGGAAGGAGAGAGAAGAAAAAAGGAAAGATACTCAGTTATGCCCTATCACCCTCTTTTTAAAAAATGTTTTATTTTGGAGAGACAAAGGCAGGCAGATCTCCATGGGTTTAAGGCCAGCCTGATCTACAAAGTCAGTCCAGGACAGCCAAGGCTACACAGAGAAATCTCTTCTCAAAAAAAAAAAAAAAGTTTTATTTAATTTTTTTATGTCTCTGGAATTTTACTTGGTGTTATTATTGCTGTGACAAAACACCATAATCAACGCAACTTGGGGAGGAAAGGGTTTATTTGGCTTATGCCTCATCATCACTGTTCATCATTGAAGGAAATCAGGACAGAAACTCAAACAGGGCAGGAACCTTGAGTCAGGAGCTGATGCAGAGGCCATGGAGGAATGCTGCTTACTGGTTTGGTCCACATAGCTTGCTCAGTATGTTTCCTTAAAGAACCCTGGACCACTAGGGATGGACCCACCCCCATCAATCAGTAATTTAAAAACTGCCCTACAGGCTTGCCTACAGCATGATCTTATGGAAATATTTTTTTAATTGAGGCTGCCTCCTCTCCAATGACTCTAGCTTATGTCAAGTCGACATAAAACTACCCTGGTCAATGAGTGTTTTACCTTCATGTGTGTTTGTGCAGCACATGCATGCCTAATGCTTTCAGTGACCAGAAAAATATATTGTATCCCCTGAAACTGGAGTTACAGACAGCTATGAGCTACCATATGTGTGTTTGGAATCAAACCTGGGTTACCTGTAAGAGCAGTGAGTAAACTTAGCTGCTGAGATATCTTGCCAGTCCCAATATAATCACTCTTGATACTGTGTCATATCTGGTCTCCTGGAAATAATAACAGGTAAGACTTCATGGCATTTTCTATAAACTTGTAGAGCACATGTCATCTCATTTTCTTGACAAGGAAATTGAGGCTAAGAGAACTTAAGCACTTTGTCCAGTAGCATGCACATGAAAGAGATGGGAGCCCAAGTATTTGGTATCCAGGTTCTGAAGCACTGCACCCCTGGGAGATAAGAGCTCCTTTGGAGCTCACAATATCTCTTAATCACACCATTTTGAAAAATCTCAGTAAGCCATGGTATTAGGCTCAGTAGGGCCAAATGGGTACAACTAATGCTAAAAGAATGTTGTCCTCTTAGATAGAAGAATGGACTTCACATAATTGCTGTCTCTGAACAAGCATGGATAAGCTAATCAACTGCTCCAACCCTCTACATCCTATATGCAAATTAACTGTTCACTCTACAGCATTTCCAGAAAGATAACCCCTGACACAGGTACATACTTAATAAATAATACCCATCATTTTAACATAAGACCTAGCATTGCTAGAACTTTCCAGCTGTCTATCAAAGAAATGCACAGCTGTTTTGTTTTTTCACTCAGTGTTGGTCTCATCAATTGCAGAAGATACTGTTTTGTCCCAGCTTGTCATCCCAGCAGCTCACCTGATGGATAGTGGTAATTATACTTGTATGGCTTTCAACTCCATTGGAAGACGCTCCCTTGTCATCAGACTCTACATCGAGCCTGCCCAGGCCATGCCTGGATGGCATTCTCCTTCCACCTCCTCAGAGCTCAGTGCCTATGTTGACCTACGGGTTGTCAAGCAGACAGTGCATGGCATCTTGCTGGAGTGGCTCACCGTGACCAGCCTCCCAGAGGAGCAGTGGTTAACTCTCTACATTAAATCTGATGAAGCTCTCAGGAAGAAGGTGGTCCATATAGGCCCTGGAATCAACTCATATGCTGTGGATAATCTCCTCCCTGCTACAGAATATAAAGCATGCCTCAGCCTGAGGAGTCAGCCTCCCAGCCAGGGCCAGTGTGTGGTCTTTGTGACAGGAAAAGACAGTGGTGGGCTGGAGAGTCGTGAGCACCTCTTGCATGTCACTGTGGTCTTGTGTGCTGTGCTCCTGGCACTGCCCGTTGGTGTTTATGTCTGGGCATCTCAGGGCCCATACAACTGTCATGAGTGGTGTTTGTGCTGTAGCCCTCTTTACAAGAAAACCCTACGATGCCCCCAAGCAGCACCACAGTGCAAGGATAGCTTTTCCAAAGATCCTCCAGTTGTCTATGAGGATGGTGAGGTTCTCAGAGTAATGGAGGATAATGAGGAGATAGAAAAGGAGGGTAACAGTTAACAGTGTACCACAGAGTGGAATGGATGGATCTCCAGTCTCGGAATCCACCCTTCCATGACAGCACAACTTGGTTCCATCCATTTATCAAGTATTTATTGAGCATCTACTGTGTTCTAATTAAGGAAATTGATGGAGGGAGTTCGGACATGCGAAAGGGGACACGGTATTTTATCTTCATAGAGCTAAAGCCAATGGAGTTCTGACTTATTAAACCGACCATTTTATTATGCCTGACTGTGTCTAGAAATTAATAAGTGTTAGTCTTAGTAACACAACCTTACAGCGTTTACGTAGACCATCTCACATGCATTATCCTGCAAGGGAAGGCAGAAGTTCCTTACTGTAGGTAAAGAAATTTGATCTCAGAAAGGTCAACGATTCACCCATCATCTATCTAGCAGGTGGGAGGACACTGGGCTACAGAGGATGAATCCTGTTGTTCTACCAAGGAGTCAGAGACTGGCCTTGCATCCACTGTGCTCATGAGGATGTAATGAAAATCAATGGTAGTTGAAATAGCATTTTAGAAATTGATGACAATACTCATATTGGAATTAATTATCTAAATAGAAAAGATAATCCTGAGTGAGATAACCCAGATCCAGAAAGACACACATAGTATGTACTCAAGTATAAGTGGATATTAGCCATAAGGTGCAGGATAACCATACTACAATCCACAGACCCAAAGAAGCCAAAGAGAGACCAAGGGAGCATGCTTAAATCCCACTCAGAAAGGGAAATAAAATAGGCATCTGAAGCAGATGGAGGGAGGGAACTGAGTGGGAGGGGAATGGGGAGGAGAACAGAGGTTGGGATCAGGTGAAGGGTGAGTGAAGAGTGAGGGAAGTGAGGATCCAGAGAGAAAATGGAAGTGGGGGGCACCTCTGAGACAGGGGAGGCTCCTGGAGACTATGGGGTGACTCCAGCAGTGAGGGTTATGGAGCTTGAAGTCACCACTTCATGTAGTAGGGTGGGGTTTCCAGTGGAGGGAAGGGGACACCAACCCACCCATAAATCCTTAAACCCAAAATTTGTCTCACCAACAAGAAGTGTAGGGATAAAGATGGAGTAGACATTGAAGGAATGGCAAACCAATGACTGGCCCAATTTAAGACCCATCCCACTAGAGGATGCCAACCCCTGACACTATTAATGAAACCCTGCTATGCTTGCATATGGGAGCCTAGCATAACCATTTTCTGAGAGGCTTCATCCAGCAACTGGTGGAAACCGATGCAGAGACACATAACCAATCAATAGGCAGAGTTTGGGGAGTTTTGTGGAAGAGTGGGAGGGAGGATTGAGGGATCCAGAGGGGTCAAGGACACCACAAGAAGACCTATGTTGACCCATGGGGGATCACAGAGATTAACCACCAACCAAAGAGCATGCATGGGCCAAACCTATATATGAGTACGCATTTGTTAATGTGTAGCTTGGACATCATGTGGGTTTCCTAACAACCAGAATAAAGGCTCTTTTTTTGCCTACCCTTGGATTTCTTTCCTTTAGCTGCCTTGTCTGGCCTCAGTGGGAGAAGATGTGCTTAGTTCTGCTGTGACTTGAGGTGCCAGTTTGCGTTGGTACCCTTTGGGGTCCTCCCTGTTTAAAAGACAGGGGAATGGAGGAGGGAGCGTGAGGGTGGGACTAGGAGGAGTGGATAGAGGGGGCTGTGATCCAGCTGTAAAGTGATTAAATAAAAAAAAAAACAAATTAATCATCCTTCATTTCTTTAGGTTCTTATCCTTTTCTTCTGGAAAGAATTAAACCTTTATTTATTCATTCGTTCATTCGTTTGTTCACTTTATATCCTGATTATAGCCCAATCCCTTTTCACCCCACAATCCCACTCTCCCTCTCTCTCCTCCAGTCCCTTCTCCTATTCCTCAGAAAATGGGAGTCCCCATTCCATCGACCCCAGCTCATGAAGTCTGAGCATGTCCTCTTCACCGATGGCCTGGCAAAACAATCACTCCAAGGAGAAATAACTGAAAAGCTGGCAAGAGAGTGCATGTCAGATAGGGTCCCTGCTCCCCTTACTAGGTTACCCACATGAGACCTGAGCTTGGCCATCAGTTACATCTTTGTAGAGGGCCTAGGTCCAGACCATGCAAGACTCTTGGTTGGTGATTCAGTCTCAGCAGGCTCCTCTTGGCCCTGGTTAGTTGTCTCAGCCCACCCACAAAATTTTCGACTCAAAATTCATCTTGCCTACAAGATGTACAGGGATAAAGAAAGAGCAGATATAGCAAAGACTGAGGGAAGGTCCAACCAATGCCTGGCACAACCCAAGACCCCCCATGGGAAAGAACCAACCCATGACACTATTAACAATACTCTGCTATGCTTGCAGATAGGAGTCAAGCAGAGTTGTCCTCTGAGAGGCTCCACCTATCGAGCAGTGCCTGAAAACAATTACCAACAGACTCACAACCACACATTGGTCGAGGCATAGGGAGCCTTGTGGAAATGTTGGGGGAAGGAATAAAGAACCTGGAGGTGACAGGAGCTTCAAAGAAATTAAACATTTTAAAATGGAAATTACCTATTTGTTCTGGATAGTTTTATGTCAAGTTGATTCAGGCCAATGTCATCTGAAAGGAGGAAACCTCAATTAAGAAAATGACTTCATAAGATCAGGCTGTATGCAAGCCTGTAAGGCATTTTTTAAATTAGTGATTAATAATGGAATAGCCTAGCCCATTGTGGATGGCGCTATCCCTGGGCTGATGGTCCTGGGCTCTATAAGAAAGCAGGCTGAGCAAGCCATGTAGAGCAAGCCAGTAAAGAGCACCCCTCCATGGCCTCTGCATCAACTCCTGCCTCCAGGTTTTTTCCCTGTTTGAATTCCTGTTCCGGCTTCCTTCAACAATGTACTGTGATATGGAAGTGTAAACCAAATAAACCCTTTCCTCCCCAACTCCTTTTTGGTCATGGTGTTTCAGTGCAGCAATGAAAACCCTAATTAAGACGCTATTGTACCAAAAGTAGAAAAAAGCTTATTCCTCCCCTTCTGATGACTTCAATAAAACTTTAAAGGTTTTCTAGTCTTTTTTTTGCCTAACTGTGTATACATACATATTGTGTGTGAGTGTGTATATATATATATATATATATATATATATATATATATATATATATATAGAGAGAGAGAGAGAGAGAGAGAGAGGTGGGCATATATATTGTATTTTAAAGCAAATTCAAAACTTTCCACAAGTTTACCTGGAAATACTTTAGTGTATGTTCTCACATAAAAGGTTTAAAATAACATAGTCAATCTTGTTGATTTTCTCAAAGAACTAGATCTTGGTTTCATTGATTATTTGAATTGTTTTATTTGTTTCTAATTTCCTGATTTCAGTCCTGAGTTTGATTATTTCCAGCCATCTACTCCTCCTGGGTATGTTTGCTTCTTTTTTTTCTAGGGCTTTCAGGTGAGCCTTTAAGTTGCTTGTATGAGATGTTTAAAATTTGTTCTTGAAGGCACTTAGTGCTATTAATTTTCCTCTTAGCACTGCTTTCATTGTTTTCCATAAGTCTGGGTATGTTGTGCCTTCATTTTCATTGAATTCTAGAAAGTCTTTAATTTCTTTATTTCTCTCCTGACCCAGCTGTCATTGAGTAGTGAGTTGTTCAGTTTCTATGTGTGTGTAGGCTTTTTGCTATTTCTGTTGTTGTTGAGGTCCTGTTTTAGTCCATGGTGATCAAATAGGATACAAGGGATTATTTCAATCTTCTTTTATCTGTTGAGGCTTGCTTTGTGATGAACTATATGGTCTATTTTGGAGAAAGTTCCATGAAGTGCTGAGAAAAAAAGGTAAATTCTTTTGTGTTTGGGTGAAAGGTTCTGTAAATGTCTGTTAGGTCCATTTGATTCATGATCTCTGTCAGAGTCATTGCTTCTTTGTTTACTTTCTGTTTTGTTGACCTGTCCTTTGTTGAGAGTGAGGTGTTGAAGTCTCCCACTATAAATGTGTGGGGATTTATGTGTGGTTTAAGTTTAATCAATGTTTCTTTTACAAATGTGGGTGCCCTTGTATTTGGGGCATAGATGTTTAGAATTGTAATGTCTTCTGGGTGGAATTTACCTTTGATGAATATGAAATGAACTTCCTCATCTCTTTTGATTAATTTTATTTGAAAATCTATTTTATTAAATATTAGAGTGGCTACTCCTGCTTGCTTCTTGGGTCTATTTGCTTAGAAAACCATCTTCCAGCCCTTTACTCTAGGTAATGTCTATCTTTGTGACTTAGGTGTGTTTCTTGTATGCAATAAATTGTTGGATCTGAGTCTACCCAGAAGGGTATCAAAACATATGCTGAGATTCATAGCCAAACTTTGGGTAGAGCGCAGGAAATCTTATGAAAGAAGTGGGAGATAGAAAGACCTGCAGGGAACAGGAACTCCACAAGGAGAGCAACAGAGCCAAAAGATCTGGGCACAGGGGTCTTTTGTGAGACTGACACTCCAAACAAGGACTATGCATGGAGATAACTTAGAACCCCTTCACAGAAGTAGCCCATGGCAGTTCAGTGTCCAAGAGAGTTCCCCAATAATAGGAACAGGGACCATCTCTGACATGAACTCATGGGCTGGCTCTTTGATCACGTCCACCTAAGAGAGGAGCAGCCTTACCAGTCCACAGAGGAAGACAAAAAAGCCAGTGATGATGAGACCTGATAGACTAGGGTCAGATGGAAGGGGAGGAAGACCTCCCTATCATTGGACTGGGGGAGGGACATAGGAGAAAAAGAGGGAGGGAGGGTGGGATTCGGAGGGGATGAGGGAGGTGGCTACAGCTGGGATACAAAGTGAATAAACTGTAATTAATAAAAATAAATCAAAAAATTATAGTCACAATATTATTGTCACTCCTCAAACTCTATATTTTTATTTTGTGTGTACATGTCCTTAGTTATATGCATATATAACAACACACGTAATATAGTAGGAATTTGTTAATGAGAAGTGTTCTATGATATACTTTTTTAAAG